GTTATATCTCCTATTTTATGTACTTTTATTGAGTTTATATATTTCCTTCTGAACTGTAAATGTGTTGTTTAAATTGATCCTTAATATGGCTACAGCCATATCAGATTTGATACCTTTGCCGTAACTTCGTATTCTTGACTGGAAGGACGCATTCTTCTAGAATTGGAAACTCATTGTGTTATTTTTGGATCAGAACAGTATAATATTGTTGAGGTTATTGTTTGTATTCCTTTTTCGATTAATAATAGAACCGTTCTTACCCATAAACTTATATTTTGAATTTGGACTGGGAAAGGCGCGTATATGACTCATACTTTTTCCGAAAGCGAGGTTCATTGAAGTGAAATTTTTCTATACTCTCATACTCGTAGTATTCAAAGTTCCCTCAAAATTTAAACCTCATGATTAATAATAATATTATTTATTCTCAAATAACAGTACAAGAGGCGTGCCAGTTTCCAGTTCACAAATGCGAACAAATTTACTGCCAATGTTATCGCAGTTAAATCAAGAATGAGAGTCAGTTTCTGATATTACATTTGCACCCTGTCACTGACAGGAATGGTTTGATACAGTCGCATTTTCAATAGGAGATTACAAATAAGCGAGGTACATAGTAGGTTTCTTGGGTGGTTTGCTTAGATCAGTAGTGAATTTGTTGGGAAAGGTCAGCTGAAAAGCGCTTGAAAGAAGCTGTGATCTAGACGTGAATATACATAGGGTGCATGACCCCTCGAGGCTCAATGGATTTTCCACTGTGAATAGGCTTCTGAAAAGGGAGAAAAAAGAGAGAGAGAAAAGGCAGCAACGAGGCAATTGTATTTACATAACCAAAGCACTACTTAACCTCTCACGTTGAAGTGGAAAATACAGTGGTAATTTAAGATAAAATTCATTCTGAAAATCAAAGTAAATTATAGGAATATAACCCGCAAGTGAAGGAGTACAGCAATGAAGAAGGAAGAGTTGTGGATAATATTGATCGAGAGACATCGACAGACACTCATCGACAACGAAGTGGGCTTACATTACCTTCACATACTTCTACCAAAAGTGAGGAAGAGAAGAAACAACATATGGATGATGCTTCTCCGATAAAGAAGCGTAGACTTCTTTCTCGTTCGGACGCTGTGACTAGTAATGAGAGTAGTAGTCATCAGAATCGTTGTAGTGGCAGCTATAGTAAAGAGACAGCAAGTGTGAGCAATCCATCTGTTAAGACTAGTCGATCTACTTCAACGAATGGACCTTCTAGTGCTTTGTCGTCATCGAACCCTGCCGCAAATGTAAAGTCGATTGAAGATGCACAAGGCTGTGTTTCTATTTTTGTACCTTTATTGGAGTTTCTATGTTTTTTACTGAACTGTATGATGTTGTTTAAGTTGTTACTTAATTATGGCCACAGCCGTGTCGGATTTGGTACCTTGGTGGGTAAAACGTGAATCTGGCCTGGAAGGGTGCAATTTTGGACCTATACGGAAGCATTCTTCCAGAATTGGAAACGCAATGTGTTATTTTGGAAGGAAAAAAGGGTATTATTGCTTAGGTAATTATCTGTATTATCTTATTAATAATAGAACCGTTCTTACCCAGATAAATTGCTTTCTTTTTGGATCAGCTGGGCAAGGAGCGTATCTAAACTTATAGAACTCTTTTTCGGAAATCAGAATCCACTGGGGATTCTACAGAGACCTCAGTATAGTTTTTAAAACATGAGCCTCAGAAGTAGTATGCCTATAAGACCAACCACAGTGTTGCTGATTAGTCGTCTCATCAATCAAAAGAGCTGAAATCGAACAAAATACTTTGCCCCACAACTATGGGTGGTTTGAAGTCATCGTCCACACCATCAATGTTAGCTGGTCAGTAACTATATTACCTTATTATCTTTCACTTCATTTCTAGTTCTTGTTTATAGAAGACAGACAAGTAACAAAATCTGTAGGAGAAGCTCAACTATCACCAGTCACAAGAAACCCAAATTATCATATATCATTGTGAGTTACTTCTTGTTCATTTAATACCAGTTTATTAAATTGTTATATCCTCCGATTTCTTATTTACTTGCCGCCATGATGATGAATTTTTACCATCAATTTTATTCATATTCTTCCATCAGCTATCAATCATTCTCATCTCGGGCTACCTATTAACTAACCTACATCTTACGATTCATACCATCGGTTAACTCAAAAGCACTGTGAAACGGTACGTCAGTATGCAATCTTCTAGGCAGAAGCCTTAGCCGTCAGTTTTATTTGTAACATGGAACTGTTAGAGACAGTGTATTCCGACAAGTTGTGCTAAAAGTAGGGCTGAGACTGTTGCATAAATTAAAACACATCACAAACATAGGAGAGTCTAAAATTACAAAGTAGGTAGATACGTGTATCTGACTAGCGATCATGATGCTGCGGCGATAACTTCAATCCAACCATGTCTGTGGGGCAGCACATTGTGCTCACGGCTCCTTACGATATAGCAGGACGTAACTAACCAATTGTGTTTAAGTTACTCTTCCACGTTAAGTAAGTCCATGACTCACGTTTGTAACCTCCAGCTGATTGAACTTCCAACCAAAAAATCTTACTGAAAGCTGATCTAGGCTGTTACGGTGAAAAAGAGTTTACTCCTGACTTGATCTCTGCGCATTTTCTAACAATTTATTTCTTTTGAATCTCCCCTATTCACACAACCATTCGCTCATTAGTTATCGTACTAGTGACTTGTGTTACGGGAGAAATGAATACATTTGTCTGATCAAAACCTTTATATAAATATCATTAATTTTGGGTATATTTGTTTTACTTAACTTATGAACTTGTTTGCATTATTTTTTCGGCCATTTTTGGACTCCTGTCTGTCTTGGTTTGTTCGTTTGCAGCTTTTTGCTCCAGGAATCTATAAAATTGGACGTAACAACTTGTCTTTATGAATTAACATAGATACATGCTGGCAGTATGTGATATAATATGGAAAAAGAAAGATACGAGTAATCAGATCTTAATCGTTTTATTCAAATAAGTACCTATTGAGTCACGACCAGGCTTTAATTGTGAATACATTCTGTTCTGCACCTCTCCTAAATTTCTCACTTTCTCCTTTTCATTATGTCATCCTATGCCTCAAATAATAGCTTTGATACTTCCAGTGATTTGGCTACTTTACCCAGGAGCCTGCTGAATTACTATCTGGCGAATGCCATCATGAGGATCAATACACATTTATATCATGATATATATAGGTCTGAATTTACCTTTTTTTCAACCAGCTGTCGTTCGTGACGTAACCGAGATAACTCGCGCCGGCAATTGTATCATACATGATGTATGTCTCAAGATTTGCTAGTTGTTATTATCGCCGTCTCCCGAGATCACTAACTTAATCTATCTCGCCTATTATCTCTGATTCCTCTCCCTTACTTACACTTTGGTCCTGTCTCACAATCATCACTACCAAATAATAAACTAAATTATCTGTATGTTCTTTAGTTCTGAAATCCTCTTCGTATTAGCATCGGAATTTTCTCCTTATTATTCTTTACATAGCAACTAACTGATCTCCAGTCAAGTAATGTGATGGCTGCTGGTATCCAGAAACCCTGCTGCCCTGAAACAAACATGTTCATTCAAATCACAGGACATACAAACTAACAACCAACTGATACCTGACTAGAATTAGGCAGTCGAGTGGCTAGACTGCCATCCATTGGACTCTATCAGACACCTGAATTCGTAAGGAAGAAACAAGAATCGAGCACAAAGTAATCATTTGGTTCATACTATTTTGTGATAGAGATATTGGATACATTCCAGAGTCTAAACATTAGTAACAATTTCATGTGAAAAATATTAGCTCTCCGTAGAAAGCCAGTCAGTATATCGTGTAAAATAATCATCTGACTGAATAACCTTTCACTGTAAATGTTTCAGCACTTCTAACATTTTAACCGTGCCTGTAAACCCTCATGCCTCATGTAACCTACTGTTATTTGGGAATAAATAAATAAGTAATGATAATATATGGACGGATTCTGCATTTTTATATTCATCAAATTTATCAAAACGGACTTAAAAAATACGAGCAAATGATCTGCAACCCATCTATCTCGAAATATAGATTCCTTCCAGGTTTAAAGCTCTCGATTCCTATTCAACACTTGTACTCCATTTTGCGTTTCTTCTCTGGTAAGTTCGGGGTTTATTAGAAATAAGAAACCCGATTACCACATGAACAAATGCAAACTTATGGATAACATATTTCTTTGTCGCCCAGTATTAGGATTTACGGAGATTCCATATCAAAGGGACAACTAAATTGCAAAAATAAAACAGAGAGAAAATCAAAGCCTACTCGTTCCTAAGATCTAGTAAACCAGATGAATGACAATAACATATTTTATGGTGATGTTAAGGACCAATACAAGAATGGTGATAAAGTTGTTAGAAGTAAGCCTGCACAAATCCTGGTTATGTAATCCATAATTTTAGATAGTCAATAATGCGAATCACGATTTATATAATCCGGGATAATATAGGTTAAGCATAGTTGAGTGATGAGAATATCAGCGTTATCTGTAAATACAGATGGCAACCAAAATAGACTAGTCATCGTGACGGCTCACTCAGTAGGAATGAGGAGTTTGTAGTAGCATTAATTTTGTTAACGCTGATTAGAATGGCATGCACGTAGAGAAAAATTTGGTGGCTGAAAATGGAGGCTAAACTTATACATCAATCTATAGACGACAACAATCATTATGAAAATGAATTCGATTTGTGAAAAAATATGGACAATAACATAAGTCATTCACAAAATGAGTCAATGTTAATTTTCTCCACTTCAGTTACGATATAAAAAATCAGGCAAAACCCTGTATTTCCGAAGTGCTACAGGTTCGTTCCTATTCATTTTTGAATCCATGATAATCAGTTGCTGCCTGACTGGGATAATAGGTGGTTTGAAATAGATCATGACGCGAATGTGAGTAGACAACCTTTAATTTGTTTGTACCACCCGTGTGGAAAAGACGAAGGTCACGAGAGGCAATACGAATTTTGAAGATGTTCGAGGCTAGGCTTACTCAGGCTGACGTATGGAAAAAAGTCATTGATGCCATAAAAGACCTTGTACAAGAAGCGACTTTGGATTGCACGGAAAATGGCATCAGTTTGCAGGCTATGGATAACGCTCATGTGAGCTTGGTGTCGCTACTGTTACGTAGTGATGGTTTTGAGACATACAGGTGCGACAGAAATCTTTCTTTGGGCCTGAACATTACAAGGTATTAGCCTGCATACTTCAAATTGTCTTTAGCGCTTCCAAAATTCTGCGCTGTGCTAGTGGTAATGATGCAATTACTCTTAAAGCTGGAGATAAAGCGGATACACTGACATTTGTTTTTGAATCAAAATGTAAGTTTCTCACTATTTTTTTAATGCTCTCAGCCCAAGATAGGTCATCAGAATTCGAGATCAAGCTAATGGATCTAGATGTTGACCACCTGGGCATTCCCGTAAGTCATTTGCGCCCTTATAACAATGCTGTTTTAGGATACTGATTACAAATGCATCATACGAATGCCGTCTGCACAGTTACAAAGAATATGTCGAGACCTAAGCCAGATAGGAGATTCCGTCGTTATATCAGTCGCTAAAGATGGCGTGTCTTTTAGTTCAAATGGTGACTTAGGTACTGGAAATGTCAAACTTAGCCAGTCCGCTAACGCTGATAAGCCTGAAGAGTCGGTTTCGATTGAAATGCACGAGGCTGTAAGCATGACCTACTCCTTGCACTACTTCAACATATTCACTAAAGCCACACCACTCTCCAGCCAAGTCGTATTATCTCTGACTGAGAACGTTCCCGCAGGTAATGCAGTATTTACCTTTTATTTATCTTGTAGTTGTGGAGTTTGGTATTGAAGATCTCGGTTATGTTCGGTACTACTTAGCACCAAAGATTGAAGATGACGCTGACTAAAATGATAAGAAAACATGTAACAGACTATTTTTATACTCATTGTTTATTGCAATAAATGTAAGATTCTTTAAACAATCATTTGTGTATAAACTCATGTTGTTAGCTCAAATACTTACAAGTATGTTTGAAAAAGTTCCATCCAGAGTTCATGCTTTTTATGAAGTCACATTATTCTAATTTTCTAGGTTCCTCTTAAATGACTTACTAGGTTGTATTTTTCTGGAATCTTAGCTTCGATAAGTAATTCCACCTTCACACTACCACATTCGCTCCTATAAATTTTGACACTGTGCTTACGAAGTATGACAATTTCAACCGATGTGCTCACATCACGTTTCATGTTGCATTTAGCTGACATTGTCGTTACTATTGTCCACCTACAAATATCTCACCAGTTCACGTGGCTATTAGCTTGTTAGAACCTTGTTCTATTGTGAATAATGTCTGTTAACGTAGCACAACATTTTGTACTTTACCTAAAGATTCGTAATACACTAACAAATACTGGTCCTATACAACTACCAATTAACATATTGTCATAAACTGACGTCTCTTTCGATTTAGTATCTGCTAAGTACTCCAATATCGAAGTTTTGAGATATTTGGATAAATATGTACAGTCTGATGGAATCTACGTTAATTGTGATTTGCTACATAATACTACAGTAGCACTCATAGATTTATCTACATATATTTGAGAGTGAATATGCGACTGAAGTGTCATGTTTTTCATTTCAAATTGTGATACCCGATAACTACTGCAATCATTCTTGACTGTAGCTGCTACCATGACATGGTGTCGGGTTTGCTTATCGTAATGACCCAACCTAAGTACACTAACTAGAACATTGGTTCCTTTTAGCTTATGTGATGAGCGGGCGGAGGGTCTATTAGAGAACGGTGACACCAAAAGCAGCAACTTAAGGTCTGAGGGCAAAGTTCTACCGTTAACTGTAGAGGGGTGTGAAGTTAGTAAAGTCTTTCCCTTAGCTTGTACTTCAGAATATCGCACTATCGATTTATGCTGCATCTCCGAAATGCGCACTTGATGTGAGTAGAAATATTAATTCATCTCCACCCTTTCCAAACAAAGGACCGTCCCGAATTACTCTCCGTTTATCTGGAAACACTATTACCGATTCCTGTGGCCTCACTGGTGTAGGAATAGCAGACAGACAGATACAACGCAGAACTTCGTACGTAAGTACATCAGTTCAGGTTGCCATGCCCCATCAGCGCAGAGACGCAACTGTCAGTTGATATCCAAGAGTGATAGTAGAAGTATTAGCAGTAATGGAGAAGACTAGGGAGCGAAGATATGATTCGAGAAGTATAAATCAGTAAGATAAATTTAGAAGGAGTGAACCATGTCATTCAAGATCTCTAACCATCAGTGACTATCGTCTCGCCGACCCCAACCAGGTAGCCTGCATCTACCAACATGACTCAGTCCACCTGTCAGTGACTTCATGCATTTGTGCTATGTTTTGGTTTGGCCGCTCCTAGTTTTCTTCTAACCTACTCCTACACCACAAGACATAGATCATCAAGGCAGTCGGTGGTTGGGCGTTCGTAATGGATGTCCCAACCGCATGAACTGATGAAGTTTCATCATTTCATCTATTGATGTGACATCCCGACCGTAGCTGCTACCTTAACGTGGTGGTCGGGCTTGCCCATCGTGATGGCCCAACCGAGCTATACTGGCTGGAACATATGTTCCTCAAGGTTCTACCATGCCAGACAGGTCGATTGGAGAACGATGAGACTAAAAGCAGCTACCCAAGGTCTGAGGGCGAAGTCGTACTGCTGACTGCAGAGGGGTGTGACAGCAGTAAGGTGTTTCCCTCGGACAACCAGCATCTGCAGCGATGCTGCCTTCTCACAAGGAAGGAAGGGTTAGTAAAGGTCGGCCCTAAAAATGTCACACCTCCCCTAACTCACGGATTTCCGTCTCCTTGGGTAAGGGTGCCCACTAAGGGCCTTTAAGAACGGACCGCTTCACTTATCTTGGGAGTCTCATCAGTGCTGATGGCCTGGTGACTGACGAAATCTCGGCACGGATACAGAAGGCTCGATTGGCTTTTGCCAACCTGCGTCACTTATGGCGTAGGCGAGATATCCGTTTGCTGACTAAAGGACGAGTGTACTGCGCAGTGGTTCGCTCCGTCTTACTTTGTGGCTGTGAAACATTGCCAGTGAGAGTAGAAGATACTCGTCGGTTATTGGTTTTGATCATAGGTGTCTTCGAAGCATTGCTCGTATACTGTGGGACAACCGAGTGAGCAACGCTGTTATTAGGGAACGGGTACTAGGTAAGAATGGCAGATCAATAGGTGAAGTGGTGAAACTTCATCAGTTGAGGTTGTTGGGACACGTGTTGCGTATGCCTAACCACCGACTGCCTCGTCGAGCTTTGTTTGGTAGTGTAGGAATAGGTTGGAAGAAAGTTAAGGGCGGCCAGACCAAAACATGGCAGAAATCCATGAAGTCATTGACGAGTGGACTTAGCCATGTCGGTAATTGTCGACTACCTGGTTGGGGTCCGCGAGATGATAATAATCGATGGCTAGTGACCTTGAATGACATGGCTCAAAATCGTTCGCAATGGCGTAGGTACATTTATTCTTTGTGTTCTCTCAAATCCTAATCTTCTGGATTCTTCAACATCTCTAAATTTTACTTTCTAAACTTATCTCATTGAATCATACTTCGTGAATAATATCTTCTAATTCTAACCTCTCCGATTACTTCTAATTCCCTTACTACCTCTTCTACTATTGGATTTGAATTGACAATTATATCTCTGTGCTGATGTGGTATGGCGACATGAACTGATGTACTTACGTACGAAGTTTTACGTTGCAACTGACTGACTGACTTACCTAGCACTCGTTTCCTAACAACATCATTGCTTTCTTGGTTGTCACACGATACACGAGCAATGCTTCGAAGACTTTTGTGATCGAATACTAGTAACCTACGAATATCTTCTACTCTTACCGGCCATGTTTCGCAACCATATAGTATAACGGAGCGAACTGTTGCACAGTACACTCGACCTTTGGTTAGGAAACGGATATCTCACCTACGCCACTAGTGACGCAGATTGGCAGAAGCCAATCGAGCTTTCTGTATCCGTGCTGAGATTCGCCACGCGTCAGACCATCAGCCCTGATGAAACTCCCAAGATAAGTGAAGCGGACTACACTCCCTACTACTAGTTCAGGTGCCGATACAAGCCAATCCTGAAGCCACATTTTGCATTTTGAGGTGGAAACCGCATCGGCGAGTGTCCGCATATTTCCTAGTCCGTACTGTCTCGTTTAGTCGGACAGCGCATAAGCGACTATCTACTAGGATCCAGTCTAGCAGAGCTATTTCTGCCCTAGAACTCAATGCTATACCTAGGTAGAATCTGGGAATTGGACACAATCCCATCCGACTGGTCTCAATCCTTGATTGTCCCAATTTATAAGAAAGCACAAGTCTTATTGTGACAATCATCAAAGAGGAATAAGTCTGACTAATATAGTTTCTAAATTGTTAGCCTCGATTATACTTAGACGCCTAACCATAACTCGTGAAGAGCAAACTCGAGAAAACCAGGCTGGTTTTCGACATGGATGTGGCTGTACAGACCACATCTTCACACTAAGACAGGTCCTGGGACACAGATACACACTTAGGCGTCTTAAATAGTTGTCTTCCTGGATCTGAAAGCGGCATTTGACTCAATGGATCGCGAGGTTCTGTGGCAGTGTCTTTCATTGAAAGGTGTACCAAAGAAGTACATTAACCTTATACAAGCTCTCTACTCGAACACCACTGGTCGAGTGAGAGCATATGGCGAACTGTCACCATAATTCTTCACTTCAAGTGGTGTCCGTCAGGGATGTCCACTCTCTCCATTCTTGTCTAATTTTATCATAGACATGCTCTTTGAAATAACCTTATCCTCGTCTGAATTTTCAGTAGACCTTTTACCAGGTGGCTCGCTTATTGACTGAGAATATGCCGATGACATAGTCCTACTTAGTGAAGACGCTGACAAAATGCAGAGTCTTCTGACCACCCTAAGCAACAATGCAAGCATGTTCGGGATGCGGTTCTCACACTCGAAATGCAAAATGTTGCTTCAAGATCGGGTTGCATCGGCACCTGAACTAGTGATAGGGAGTGAAGTAGTCGAACATGTCGACCGTTTCACTTATCTTGGGAGTCTGATGGCCTGGTGACTGACGAAACCTCAGCTCGGATATAGAAGGCTTGGTTGGCTTTTGCCAACCTGCGTCACCTATGGCACAGGCGAGATATCCGTTTGCTGACTAAAGGACGAGTGTACTGTGCAACAGTTCGCTCCGTCCTACTGTACGGATGCGAGACTTAGCCGTTAAGAGTAGAGGACTTTCGTAGGTTACTAGTCTTCGATCATCGATGTCTCCGAAGCATTGCTCGTGTATCATGGGACAACCGTATAAGCAATGCTATCGTTAGGAAAGGAGTTCTAGGTAGAGATGGCACATCAATAGATGAAATGATGAAACTTCATCGGTTCATGTGGTTGGGACATCCGTTACGAACGCCCAACCACCGACTGCCTTGATGATCTATGTTTTGTGGTGTAGAAGTAGGTTAGAAGAAAATTAGGAGCGGCCAAACCAAAACATAGCACAAATGCATGAAGTCACTGACAGGTGGACTGAGTCATGTTGGTAGATGTAGACTACCTGGTTGGGGTCCGCGAGATGTAAGTCACTGATGGTTGAGATCTTGAACGATATGGCTCAAAATCGTTTGCAATGGCGCAGATGCATCCACTCTTTGTGTTCTCTCTAATTCTGACCTTCTGAATTCCTCATGATCTCTACTTCACTCCTTCTAAATTTATCTTACTGATTTATACTTCTCGAATCATATCTTCGCTCCCTAGTCTTCTCCATTACTGCTAATACTTCTACTATCACTCTTGGATATCAACTGACAGTTGCGTCTCTGCGCTGATGGGGCATGGCAACCTGAACTGATGTACTTACGTACGAAGTTTGCGTTGTATCTGTCTGTCTCAAATCCTAATCTTCTGGATTCGTCAACACCTCTAACTTCGTCTTTCTAAACTTATTGAATTGTACTTCTTTAATAAT